TCTTCAAGACTGAGCAGATTTCGAAAAACTGACATTTGTTGGAGAAATCATGCTCCTTCTTCCGATCGTATGCATTGTCTCTCATCATCAATAGCAGCCGAGTCTCTAGTAGTTCCTTAGTAGATTCCATTTATGTAATATATTTTGCTTCTTCTGAGAGGTTGGGTTTATGAGATTCGCAAATTGGTTAGATCGAGAATCGCGGGGAGTCTGTCTTAGAATCATGACGCACCTCCCTGGGATTTAGATTATGCTGCAGATACGTACAACACTCGCTAACAAAGATATTCACTTGCGTAAACAGTATAAAAATACGGGTGATTTTGGTAGAGAAACCGTTTTTCTAGTATGTAGAAAAAATGGGTTTCTCCAGTCACCTTGATTACAAGGGTTCTGGAGAATCACAAAGTACAAATAGTGAAACTAGAAGCTTTCATATGTTTTATTTGCGGCGAAGTTTTGATGCTATGTCTGACCAGATAAGGGAGATTGGCACAAGTAGCTGCTATACAACAAAACGATTCCTAGTAGTAGCAAACATTCGTTGTAGTTTATAGGAACGCCAGCGTTGCTCGTACTCAAAGCGGGGATAATCACGCCGAGGGACTTGCCTGCTCAAATAGTGACAAGGCCATGGGAGAGTATTCGGTTTCGGATGGGCTCAATTCACAAATCTCCTCCACCCAGTTTTTCAGACGAAATGAAAGTCTCCCCTGGCCACTATCGAATCACTCTGGTACAGGTCAGTGGTGCATCTGCGAAGCCAAGCGTCGGCAATGGACCTTAGGCATTATTGACTTAATAGACAATAATTATGTAAATTCTGCTCATAATGGACCAAACAAGGCAGCCAAGTAGCAAGAATTCTGTTTAGATCAGTAAGTATGCTGGTGAGTAGGCAATTCTATGTCTCTGTCTGTGCTAGCTTATTCTCGATAGGGTTGCCCTCAAAATATTAGCTTGATTAGTCAGTGTGGTGCTAGTTCAGGAGGCAAACCTTGGTTCCTCGGTAGAGCTGAATATGCTTATCTGAAATTTAATTACATCATAGTACCAGGTACCAGGAATCTTAAGGAAATATGAAGCTGACATAATCGCGACTTATCTTTATAAGGAAAATTTTGTTAGTCACTGAACCGTTACAGAGTCACCCATTTTTTCCAACGACTTTCTGCTTACACTGATTCTTACCTTACATGTAGCTACGAAAAAGAACTGGAGTTCGAAAAACGCTCTACTAATTTTTATGTTTTGTTGCTTTCATTTTCTTTGACATGCTAAC